TAAGGGTTTTTTTATATTTAAAAATCTGTCTGACACTGAAAATCTGTTGTATTGTAAAATTCGTTATATCAAAATTCATTGTAGAAAAAGTTGACTGTAGAATTATTTAAATATAAATATATAGATAATCTATATTTAAATAAATATTATACAAATATTTTATAAATAATTAATATAAATATATATATAATTAAATACTATACAAATATTTTATATATAATTTATACAAATATAAATACTATATAAATATTTTAAATAAAATATATATATAAATATAAATTAAATTAAATATAAATATATATATAATTATAACTAAATCTAACATTTTGTATAGCAATTACTATGATTTATTTAAATAATATGATTTTTATTTATTAAAAAGTTACAAATATATTTACATAATAAGAATTTTCTTTTTCAAAATAAGGCACAATATGTACTATTTCATTAATTGATTTAATTGAAATCAAATTATATAAATCAATCAGTTTCATATATGGACAATCTAACCTAAAATATTTTGAATAATCATTTATATACTTAAAGTCATATCACTGAATTAATACTAATTTTAAATCTTCATGTCTATTATTCAAAATAAAATGTGTTAGTAAAAGAACCTATAATTTAAATAAATGTTAATTATTTTAATATTAAATTTGAAATATATATTTAAATAAATTTTACCTTAGCAAAACATACACCATTATATGTTACAAATTCTTCTAATTGATCTTTTTCTATTCTAATTGATATGTCATTAAATATTAGTAAATTATTAGATGATAATATTATTCAAACAAATTTATTATTAATTAAATGCACTAATTTATAAAGTAAAATTCTAGCTATATTTATATCAATATCTTCATTATTTAGATTTGCTATTTTTAAATATTTATCCAATGCTTCTAAAAAATAATCTAAATCATTAATAATTTCTGATGAACATTCTTTACTTCTTAATGCATCAACTATAGCTTCAATAAGTTGAAGTGGTATATTATTATAATTCTTATTTAAAATAATATCATTTGATTGAGAATTAAAATTATGAATTACAGTTTTATACATTTCTTGTAAAGTTAATTTTTGAGTTACCTATTTATTGCAAATATTATATTAATTATTTTTAAGTAAAAAATCATACAATTTATAGATAATTACTTACTGTCTTAAAATTTGAGAATTAATATTATGTTTATTTGACATACGATAAGAATTTTTAATATAAGTTTTATGTAAAGATTCATATGTTTCTGCATTCTAACCATTAGGAGATCCATAATTTTTGATAGCAAGAATAATATAATATAATAAATGATAAAGCTTTGGAAATCAATATTAATTACTGGAAAAAAAACTAAGAATTGAAATAAAATTCTTTGCCAATTTTTCATTAATATCTAAATTAAATTAAATTAAATAAACTAAACTAATATATTTATATATATTATATAATTATATATTATCTTAAAATTGTTTAATTCACTTTCAGTAAATACTGATTCTCTTATTATTCTATATATATTATTTCACTTTAAAAATAAATCTGTTAACCTATTATTTAAACTTCCTTCTAATAATCTATCAATTATAAATAGAATAACTCGTATTATATTTTGATATTCAAGTGCTGTAAATCGAGCAAAATCTGCTAATCCATTATGAAAAATTTTAAGCCCACAATAATTTGGAATAGTTGCAAATCTTGCATCCATTTTTTCAACTAATGTATTTCCTTCTTGACTTTTTAAGAAAAAACGTATAAATTCAATCATATAAGAAACAAGTTCTAGATCAAGATAATGCATTCTTTCTGAAACAGTTGCTAAATAAACATTAAAATTTCTAAATATATTAAAATTAATCAGTTAAATTATTACTATATTATAATATTATTATTAATAAATAAACTAATAATTAAATACATACGGCAAATTTTAAAAAGCATTATTTTGTTTATAAATTGAATATTTTTTTTGTAAAATCAGATTAATTGCAATTTGCATATTTTGTTGTGTTCTTAAAATCATTTCTTCTGGCATTAAATCAGTTCTATTTAAATTATTTTGATTAATAAGATAACTATGATATAGATATTAACAATTGATCTACTATAAATTAAACATAACTTTCCATTTTCTAGCTAATCTCCTAATAACATAGCTATTATCATTGTACATCATATATAATGATCACCTATTTATAATTGTATACCTGTTTGTTTTTGAGCTCGAATAGGTATAAGAAGAATTTTAATGCAATTATAAAAAGTAGTTTGAATAGCATTATAAAATTCTTTAATTCTCTTTTATTACTTAGATCCTTTTAAAATAGGTATAATTCTAACAAGTACTTTTACTTCAGGCTTATTGTGAAGATAAAGATAGAATATTTTCAATAATTACAAAAATTGAATAACGTGAACTTTTTCTAAAATGGTCTAGAGTAGTAGTATCAGAATAAAGTATAATTGGTATAATTTTACTTCTATTTGATATATAATTAATAGTTTGCTTTCACCAATTACTATCAAATAATTTACTATAAAATTGCTCTAAATAATTCTAAAATTATTTATTATATTATATTATTAATTTACTTATAAATTAACATTAAGTTATAAATATTCAAATATTTCATGCTTTCTGATTTATCTAAGTTTCTTTATAATCAAATACTAATTCCTTAACAATTTCAGTATTTTTTATAATTTCTTTAATTTCTGATAGAATTGGTTAATATTTAAAGTTATATTGAGTATTATTAATATTTATTATAGATAATGAATGAAATAAAGTATGGTTTTTTTAATTTATCCAAAAACTGAAGACTAATACGTGTAGAAGCTGGTAATACTTTTTTAGGTAACTTTACATATTTGTATACAAAGCTAAGAATTGCATCTCCTATATTATTTGAAAGCTTAAAATTTACCACCTAATTTAAATAAGTAATCATTAATAAAATTAATAAAAAATTATAGTATAATATTTACTACTTACAAGTCTAACAAAATTATGATAAATTTCATTTGAAAAATCTTATGTATCAGATTGATCATTATATTCAGATATATAATTTTCTATTTCAGATGTGATTATTGGATTATTTTGTTCAGATTGATTTAAAGATATAGAATTTTTTAATTCAAATGTATTTATAAGATTATCTTATTCTAATTGATTAAAAGATATAGAATTTTCTATTTTAGATGTTGAATTATTGATAATAGGATCTTTAATTTCCTTTTCACTTAATTCTTGTGAATTTTTATTTATATTTAAATATTCATCATTATTACTATTATAACTTTTTTCTCTTTCTTCTAAACAAAATTCTTCATTTAAACTTTTTTCACTTAAACTTATATTATAACCGGGTGATGATCTTGATGATCATAGATCTACAAATGTGTAATGAAGTACAAATGTCGATAATGTCAAATATATTTAACATGTTTAATATGTTTA